TCTCTACAGAGAAAAAGAGCAAATATTTCTAATTTTTTCTCCTTGTTTGTTGGACTTTTTGAAATGTGTAAATATTATCATAATTACCAAATCAATGATTGAGAGGCAAACAGAAAAAGAAAAAATAGAGGATTCAATGATGAAACTTCAAAGCTCCCCAGCATGGTGACCTGATTTAGGCCTCTGATGACTCCTACTGCAGGACCACCCAATGTGCTCTTGTTTTCCTTAGGGAAACAAGAGCCTTGTTCTTCATCCTTGATGGCCAAAGATGCAAGGCTGAAGAAGATGCTGCAAAAGAGTTTCCTCTGGCCACCTCTAACTCATGAACACCATGGAAATGCTGTTTCTCACCTCCAGTCTCTATACTGCTGCTAACATAAGTGATCATTTGTAAGTGAGAAAATTAAGTGTGGAAAAGTGATCAGATCTGTTCAAGGTCATTTCTACAATAGGAGAGTCAGCATGTAGACCCTGTTCCTGGTGTCTGGCAGCTACCTCCCCACCATATGAAGGCAGGGGATCTTTTTGCTATAGTACATGGCTTGGGGCAAGGGGACCTTCTATCATTTAGCTTCTTAGCCTTGGGCCTCTTGATTCATGTTCTACATGCAAGTGTCTGAGCCTTGAATATGGCCAATGATGTTTTCCCAGCAATCACTGCACTCCTATTATCTGCAAACCCCCCAGGGGCATGGCATTAGCAAGGGGTTAAGCAACATAGCATTAGCATGTACATGCCGACATGCTTTAAAATTTGTTCCATCTCTTTTCCTTTTTACACATTATAATTATTGATGCATACTAGTTGTACAGAGTAAGGGGATTCATTATGATATTTTCATATATGCATATACTGTGTATTGGTCAAGTTTGTCAACCCCTCTCCTATCTTCTCGCTCTCTCCTAACTGTCCTTCCAGGCCTGTATAGCCTCTCTTCTATTTTATTTTTGAGTTTCCACATATGAGAGAAAACATGCAATGTTTTTTTTGTCTGAATTATTTTGTTTAACATGATATCCTCCACTTCCCTGAATTTTTCTGCATATGACTGGATTTCATTCTTCTTTATGGTTGAATAGGGTGTGTGTGTGTTTGTGTGTCTGTGTCTGTGTGTGCATGTGTGCATGTGTGCACATGTGCATGCCACGTTTGCTTTGCCCATTCTCTTGCTGACACATACCTAGACTGATTGCTTGCCTTGGTTATTGTGAATAGTGCCTCTCTTGCTCCTATCTTGCTCATTAGCCATTGTTGTATAACTCAGTGCTTTATTGCAAAAGTTTATAATTGGCACTCAATTTTCTGGTTTTACTAGGCTCAGTTGAGTAGTTATTGATTACAGTGTCCTGTCAAATAACCTCAGTCAGCTTGGGGCTAAAACTGCAGTACATTCCCATGGCCTAAAGTCCAGCAATAAGAAAGGGAGGACTGGAATGTATCTTGAGGGTAGAGCACTTGCCTAGCATGCAGGAGGTCCTGACTTCCATGCCAAGCATGAGATTGTATAACAGCTTATAATTGATTTTTAAGACCATAGGGAGAATGGAACATGGATAAGGAGCATTATTTGCTATCATAAAACAAAAGAACTGACAAGCTTAGTGCCTACAGAGAGGAAAACTGATGAGACCTCATTTCACTGCAGAGCCTTGGAAGCAGTGAAATTCTGTGTGATACAAATCTATAATTGTGTGCTACTGCTGGTTTTATTTCTGTCAACAAGAGCGCACCATTCTTGTGTCAGGCATTGAGTTGGGTACTGAGAAACACTGATTACCAGTTGTGTGAGTTACTTTTCACTGGATGTTGAGACAAAATACCTGACACCCAACATGCAAGAAGGAAAGGATTATTTCTTACAGGTCAGAGGTTTCAGTCCCTACTCAGTTGGCTCCAAGGCAAAGTGACATTTTGAGGGGAAGCAGATAATTGTGGCTGCAAACAGCAAGCAAGAACAGCAAAAGAGAGAGGCACACCTTCTTCCCTCAGGTACACTGTATGCTGGCTCCACTCCTGGGCAGGTGTAGCACTCATACCACCAATCTGAGTGCTAGACCATGAACCAATCAGAAATACTGGATTTGGCCACATTCATTATTGCATGATGCTTGGGAGGGGCACTGACATAAACTATGACACCAGTAGAGGCAAAGAGACTGCTCTCATACTCTCAGCATGAAGCTTAAGGTCTACTGAGGTAGGGGGATATTTATCAAATCACTATCCAAATATAGGCTGAGCATTCCTAATCTGAAATCTGAAGTCTGAAATGCTTCAAAATCCAAAACTTTTGAGTACTGACATAGTGCCAAATTGAGAAATTCCACAAAAAGAAATTTTGTTTCAAACACAAAATGTTATTTAATTAAGATAATTGGTACATTTTAGATGTAAATAATGATCATGTTAATTGTGGGAAATTTGTACCATACGTGATATGAATCCTTTTTTTCTCCATTCCCCTACCTTTCCTTCAACTCCCTTCCCCTCCTTATTTATGGAAGGCTTGTTTCCTTCTTTTCTCATCATTTTTTTCATTTCCCTTCTTCCTTTCTCCCTCCTCCATCCATAATTCCCCTTCTCATTAGAAAATGTTCAAATATCTATTTTATTTTAGTCCTTATCCACATTTTCAGTTTCCCACTCCAGAGAAACAACACAATACACACATTAATCACAAAATTAATACAAATATTGTATAAAATTATCTTCAGGCTTGGAGTATGAAGTATATATGAACTATAAATAAATTTCATGTTTAGACTTCAGTCCCATCGTAAAGACAACTTATTATGTCTATGCAAGTTCTCCAATAAATAAAAAATCAGAAATTCAAAACACTTCTTGTCCAAATCATTTTGTATAAATGACACTGAATAATGCAGATGTTCAATTAATAACCTCAAGGAAGAAGTACAAGGGCTGATCAAAATATACAGCTAAGATTCAAATTACGATAATAGATACATACTCATTAGTCCTCCTTAAAAAACACATTCTGAAAATAAATTCACTAAAATACACCTCGTTGCTTCAAACACACTTCTCCATTTGTTCTTGCAATTTTTGGAGCAGTTTGGAAGTCCTCTTTTGCCAGTGTCTTTACAAATTGAGATAAAAAATATAGTGAGTGCTGCTGCTGAGTGCCATCCAACGGGAAGAACGGCTCATATATACACTATGGTGTGTCCTTATCCACCTGATTCACCAGATCTGGACCCTGTGACTTCTGACTCTTCTCCAAAATCAAAATGATCATGAAAAGTAAATAGTTTGAACTGCTTCAAACATTGAGGCAGCCACAACAGCAAAATGAATGATCCTTATAAGAGGACTTCCAGAATTGATTCAGAAGAAAATGGCAAGAATGATGGAATAAGTGCATTCAAATGAAGTAGGAACTGGGTGTGGTGGTGCACACCTGTAAACTCAGCACTTGGGAGGCCGAGGCAACAAAATCTGAGTGTGATACTAGCTTGAGCAACACAGTGAGTTCAAGGCCAGCCTGAACTCCAAAGAAAGTCCTGTCTCAAAAAACTAACAGCCAACAAGCAAAGAACACCTAGGTGATTGTTTTATCACAGTTTTGTGTTTGTGTGTAGATTACTAACTCATTAAAGATAGAAGACCTTCCCTGTGTGTGGTGGGGAACCAATAGTCCTGCATCCTGGAGGCAGTAAGAAGGGAAAGGAGAAAGTCTGGCTTCTGCCCCTTCAGAAGAGTTTGAGTCCTTGCCATCAACTTAGGTGTCATTTCCAGGATCCTAGCACAGATTTTTCTGCTTCCTGCCAGATACTCTCCCAGGACTCTGTTGTGAGCTCCAGGCCTTAGACTTATGTGTTGATCTTTTGCATTTCAAATCAGCACCTGGCACTTTTGCGTTCTTCTCCACCAGGCTCTGCAGATGGCCTTCCTAAGCCTCCTTTGTAAATCCTTATCTGTCACACACACACACAAATTGAATCTGATCTTCTAGTGCACCTTGACACAAAATGCCTCTAGCTAACTGTGCAACCTCCCCTGAACAATTTCTTGCCTCGCTCATGTGAAAAATCCAAAGCAGAACTGCAGCAGTGCTGTGCTAATTATGGGTTAGTTAACAGAGATGTTGGTGTTGGCCACATTGGGTTAACATTCTGTCCACTGCTTTGTTATTGGAAAAGGTATTTAATGTTCTAGGCTCATACAGCTATGAAAATGAAGATAATTCCTAACTCACACTCTTGTAAGAATTAACATATGTAAAGCATCTCAAAGGGGCTCTGGCTTGACACTTATAAGTGCTACATATGCTTATTAATATGTTATATTAACATGTAAAGATACTTTTTTTTATTGGTACCAGGATCGAACTCACTACAGCCTACTTGCAAGGCAGTTGCTTATGCCGCTGAGCTAAATCCCCAGCCCCCATGTAAAGATACTTTTAAGATATAAAGAAATCAGACGATGGATACCGAAAGCACTCATTTCTCTGTAATAAAAGGACAACAACACAAATAACAACTGTATCTGAGCACTTGCTATATGCTAGGAACCATGGGAAGATCTCTTCTTTGGATCTTCACAGTAGTGCCAAGAGATAAGTATTGCCTTTCATAACGTTTTGTTTTTTTAATGGGAAAAAACCCACAATATTTCAAAGCGAAATAATAGGAGAATAACAATAGTGGATACTGAGGCTCCCAGAAGAGAAGCAGTGTGCCTAAGGTGTCAGGCCTGGGAAGATTTGAGTCCAGACATCCATAAATTCCAAGCCTCAGACTCAGTCCACTGCTCTGCTTCCTGTCATAGCCGGCCTGGGGCTCAGAGACTCCCACAAGCCTCATCAGAGACCTGCAACCACACCTCCCTTCAGCCTGACCCAACCCCTAATGCCACAGCCCCTTCCTCATTCTCCCCCCACAGGAGGACTACATACCTATTGGGCCCCAACTTTCTGGCCACGCCCCTTGCCCCGCCTCCCAAGCCGCTGAGCCCCACCACTGGCCACAAGGGAAGCTTACACTCCATCTGGCCCAACCTGGGCGTGCTGTGTCCACGGACTGTCCCTGGCCTTGTGCCTCCACATCCCACTCAGTCCCGCGCCGCCCCTGGCCTCGCCCTCACGGTGGGTGCCTGTCTTGTGCACGGAGTCGCCATTTGTCGCTAGAGAAGCCCTCTGGAGACCTGAACGCTCTTTCTTCAGCAGCCTAGCCTGCAGCGGGGCGGGGGCTGGGGTCTGGGCCAGGTAGGCGGACGGGAGCCGGCTGTGAGCGGCGGCGAGACCCGGTGGCCCTGAGGTTAGCGGGCGCAGGTTCCTTGGCGGGGAGTCCTGCTGGCGGGGTCGCGGGCCCAGGGCAGCAGGCATGGCTCTGGGGGGGACCCGGCCTCAGCCCGCAAGGCCCCTCTCTCCCTCCCTCCCTCCTTTCCTTCAGAGGTCCACACAGCCAGGACTGGCGTGCAGCCCGGAGTCCCTGGCCCCCGCCAGGCACTGCTGGGAGGCCAGCCCTGGTGTGGGACCTATGGGAGGCAGCTCAGGTCTCACATGGCCTCTGCTGTCACTGAGCCTGGCTGTGCTGAGCCAGGGACATTTATCACCCAAACGAAGATTTCATTCCATTCCGAGCTCCTCCCTGCAGAGACTGAGAAAGGACCAAGATATTACAGTAAGATAGCAGTTATTATTCTACCTGCACATGCTTTGGCTCAAGTCCCTTCCATTGATAAGGGGTTTCTGCTTCTTTTAATATTGGTGCCACTTGGGTGTTTATGTTTTGTAAACATAAGGAGACCGAATGCAGCAGGGGCTTTGACAACAAGGCAAAGTATGATCAGTAGAGTTTAAAATTTAAATCCACAAATAAAAATAATTCACACACATTGTTGAACCCTGCTACAGAATATCCATCTTGCCCATATTCGGCTGTCTCTAACCACTACTACCCAGTTCTGCTCATATGATTTATATATTTGCATAGTGTTGAATATTTATACGCATAGGTAGAGGTTTATTTAGTTATCCTGTTACTGACCATGTACAAAAGTCTAGTTCCTCTTAGAAAAATTGCATTGAGCATATATCATTTTTTTCTTGGGATAAATTCCAGAATTTGGAAATAGTAATTCAGAGTTCTCTGTTCTTTCCCTGACACTTGACATGAACTGGTGCCTAAATAAGCCATGTTTACATCTTTCAAAATCTAGGTATTTGTCCAATTATCTTGGAAAATTTGGAGTTCAGCGAGATGTTGAATTATTTTCTGTGCAGGCTGAGAGGCAGGCCACACAACCTACTGTAGGATTTTGTTTTTAAGTCATGTAACATGTTCATGTTTTTGTTTTGATTGACTATTATGTTTTGTTTCATTTGGTTTAATTCTCTTTAAAATAAAAAATTAAAAAAAAACATTTTCTTGCTGGGCATGGTGGTTCATGCCTGTAATTGTAGCACTCTGGAGAGTTAGACAGGGGCATCACAGGGAATGCCAGGCTAGCCTGAAATACTTGATGAGTTCAAGGTCAAGCTGCATAGAAGGACCTTGTCTCAGAACAAAACGACCTCTTTTTCGTCTTTTCTTATTTTAATGTAGCATAAGTAGATACTAATAAAATATGAAAACACTTTTATAAATAGATTAAAGTTTTCATACCATGCAGTTTATATACTATGAAACTACAATATACTTTATATAACTATATAATATGAAACAGCGTAGTAGTTTCATACTATGCAGTTTTCATGCTATGCAGTTTATATACTATGTTCCATTATCCTGGGGATTTCTGCATGCGCTATATGGCTGTGCAATTTTTAAAAAAAGTTTTTAACACCCCTAAACACAATTGCTGTCGTATCCTTTAGAGCTTTTTTGTTTCTCTCTCTTTTTTACAACAAAATTTACACATTTTGGGTTTTATTACTCCTTAGTTGTTATTACTTTTTTTGGGGGGGAGAGAATAAAGTCAAATATGGCAAAACAAAGCTGTCAGTCAAAACCAAGGATAGACATAGCACATGATGTAAAACAGAGTACAAGGTTATCAACAATGGTTATCAACGATGTCTCTTGTTTCCTTAAAAAGAATTGTCTATTTCATTAGATATCATAAAGTTGAACAAAACAGTAGAGAACAAGACCAATAAAACTTAGGCATTGTAAACATTACAGGACTTTGGTTGGATCATTGAACACAACTGTTTGCAGTCTCACTGTTTAAATGTCTACTTTGTATTCTTTGATACTGTGATTTGAGCAACTATTTCTAAGATGATAATATGTAATCTATTAACTGGTGATTTTTTACTTTTTTTTTGTAGTTCTGTATTACTTGTACCCTTACACCACTTTGTTTTGTTTTGTGTTTTTCTCTTTTTCCTTTTAAATAAAATTTAATTTTTTTTTTTAAGTTTTGAGACAGGGTCTAAATAATTCACTCAATTCCCCAGGTTGGAGTTAAATTTGTGGTCTTCCTTTCTAGCATCCAGATGGCTGGGAATCTACAGGCTATCCTTACTTAGAAATTAGCAATCATTATATATGTTTATGGGATAAAATGTGCCTTTGATCTTGGCTCCTTTGTGGTAAGAATCAATCTAGTTAATGTGTCTACCACCTTACCAACCTATAAATTCTTTCACAGTGACTGCAACTGCAAATCTCATGGTTTAGCAGTTTTGAAAGTTATCCTTCTTATTAACTGTGGTCACCATGCAGTTTAGTAGAGAGTTGAAAATTTGTTCTCCACCGTGCCCGAGATTTTGTATTCTTAGGTGAACATCTTCCTTTCCCCATCCCTCATGGAATTGATCATATTAAGAATCAGAGTGCCCAAGAAAAGGTGTGAAGGTACTTGGGGCACACTGCTCTTCAGAACGACCAGGCAGTGGTACCCTGTAGCACCTCACCTTGCTCCCAGTTTTTATTTTTTTGTTTTGTTTTGTTCTTTAACTCAGTTCTGGGAATTGAATGCAGGGCTGGCTTAGTTACTTTTTCCTGGTTGCAGAGACAACATACCTGATGCCAAAAGTTGGCAATAAAAAGGTTTATTTCTTACAGTTTTTGGAGGTATCAGTCCATACTCAGTTGGCTCCAAGGCAGGCTGGCATGGTGGGGCCACAGTTTATGGCTGCAGCAAACAGCAAGGAGGAAACAGGCAAAAGAGCAAGACAGGCCTTCTTTCTGCCATTACATCATATCCTGGCTCCACCCCTAGGTCAGTGTTGCACTCACACCCCCAGTCCAAGGGATAAACAATGAACCAGTCACAAAGGCATAATATAAACGCATGAGGCCTGGGGGCCACAGACATAAATTGTGATAAGGGCCTTGCACTGAACTAGACTAACTTCTGTTTTTAAAATTCTTTTTTTATTTTAAGCCAGGGTCACCACAAGGAACTACAGTGCTGAGACACCATCTTGGACATAGATTCTTACATGTCTATGTGTGGATGCACCTTGATGTCATATTGGAAACTACTAGGAGGTGAAGCGGCTCTGAACAGGATTTAAATTTTACTAATTGGCTTTCTATGTTTAGCTGTGAATCTGTCCTAGGCCGAAGCCCCTTGCCTGGAGACAGGAGCTGATTCATATTAAGTGAACCTCTGTGAATCACAGGTCCTGACTGAGGCCTGTAGTGGCTTGTGACGACAGAGATACCTCAAAAGGTAAGATAAGGCCACACCTGTGGACAGTCTGGCTCCAACCCCAATTAAGTAGGTAGAGACTGCAGCTGCAAAGATTACTCCTACAGATCACTTCTACCATGTCTTCATGATAAGAAAGTGCTACTGAATTGACTTGATTCATCACTTGGAGACATCCTTGAAGTGACTCCCAAGGTCCTGCTCATTGCTTGTACTTTCCTCAGTTTCTCTGCCCTTTGTCCTTGGTCCTAATGTAAGTGGACTGACACAGAGAATCCTTTGTCTTTACCCTCACAGTGGAGCCCTACAAATCGTATAGTTTCTCACTTTTTATTTAACCTCCACCAAAAACTAGTTTGGGAGATCCAAGATATAGGACAGAACCCCATAATGTCAGAGACATTTCACTTTGAAAACTGCGATTCTTGTTCTCGCATTCATGTAATATTTCATGATCAGATTCCGTGGCTTCTTTTCCTGTGGACCCATGGAGAATAACCTCAGCATCCCCCCAGCTTTCCCTGCTTCCTGTGGCCCACACTGATGCCCCACACCCTTTATGTGGAAGATAGGGATGGTCCCAGTTCCTTCCTGCTTCAAACAGCTGTGAATCAAACTCCTGAAAAGAAATCTTGCAAAGTTGTGCAGCTCTCTGTAAGTCATAAACCTCTATTTTTAACCCTCCCAGGTCCAGGGACACTTGTGTAGTGCTCTGATGGAAGCTGCCAGAAGGGGCTCTGCTCTGCTCCCCTTGTTCTCCCCAGTGCTGTTCAGGACCTGCCTTTAAACCTGCCATCCGATGGAGACATAGCATCTATCAGGGATGTGTGCCTGCATGAATCAGCTTTGGAGGCTCAGTGTTTTCTGCTCTTGTTGGCCACCTGTGGTGATTCTCTTTTGATTTATAAGAATTTTTCATCTCTCACAGAATGGATTCATGACACCTCTTTTACACCTGTATCACAAACTGTCTGTCTGACTATGGCTTGTAAGGAAAGGTTTCTTGTAGTTTCTGCATTATTCTTTTTTCTGTTTTTCAAATGCAATGGATCAGACCTCTCTAGCTCCCTTCTATCATTGAAATCATGGGAACACTTTTCCAACATTAAAAGTTGAGTAGATACAAAATGCTCTCTACATTTTCCTGATAGAATTGTCTACCTGGGATTTTGTCTTCTATCAAAGAACAACATCAGCCACTGTCTTTCTGTAAAATTTGACTGAATAGAGTCTGATAAATGATTATTAAAGACCCAGAGTACTAAATCACAGTGAGAAAAAAGGTCAGAGGTGGGTGGGGTATAGCAGGAGAGGACAGGGGTATGGGTAATTCCAATACTGAGCAGAGAGCTGGAAATCAACAGATGTGGAAATTGTACAAATAGATGATGTACTTATATGCTACAGAACTGAACATAGTGAAATTAATGGTATCTTAACTTTTAAGGTAAATTGTACTACAATTTAATGTCTAGAAGAATTACAGACTTAGTAGTAGAAATGTAAACTGAAAATAATACAAGGTGCACAAGGATAGGGGTAAGGAAAGGCAGGTGCTTTGCAGGAGTGGCCCTAAGTGGAGCTCAGGATGCTTGCTGTGGAGCCAGTAAAAGTCTCAGCTCTAGAATTCCTCAAGACAGGCTGCCTGGCCTTAGTTTTCACTTTGATCCCAAAGCTGGTGAGGTCACTGGAGATGGATCTAGCATAAACTCTGCATGTGGGACTTGAGGTCAGTTAGGTACTACCCTGTGTCAGCAGAAGGAGAACAATCACTAACTATCCTTGTTCCTTGCAGGCCCTAGAACTTCCCAGTGCCTGTCACAGACAGTTCTGTGCACAAATCCACCCCAGGAAAGCTTCCCATTCTTCTTTGACCCACTCACTTCTGCATGTCTCAGTGTTGCAGGAGGCCCCAAATCTTGGAGTCTTTGTCTGTATAAAGTGTCCCATGCACTCCCCAGAGGCCCACAGACCCAGGCCAAACCCTTCTGATTGCAGTTATTTTCAGTGAGCTCAGGTTGGTCCAACTCAACTGTGCATCTTATAGATTTGGACATCAACCTACTGCTGCACTTGCAGAGCCCTGCCCCAGCCTTTTCTTTGCCTTGAATGGGGTAGTGCTGGCCCAGGTGGTCCTCACATGCTGACAGAAGTCCCTAATAGTGCTGTGACCACCTGTCCTCCCTTCTTCAGGTAAGCCTAACATAAACCTCCCTTCCCAACCATTGTGGCCTGTTGTCTCTGAGCAAGAGTGGTGTCTGCAGTGTTACTCTACTCATGGTCACTCTACAGGAGTGCTGTACTATATATACCTGCAAAGTGAGTGGACAGAGAGTGTGGGTTCTGCCTGCCTTTCCTCCATCTTCAGTTTATATAATGATGCATCACCGCATTCTGTGTGCCTTAGAGAAACTCCCCTAACCCTATTATGTGTTCACATGTACAGAGGCCAGGATGTTAGGCACATTCACAGTAATGTGGATATTACATGGTGTTCTCTCCAGGGTGACTGTGTGGCCTGCACAACATTAAAGCACAAGACAACAGTTTTTATGTTTAATCTGGTCATTACATCTGTCAGAGCCTAGTAAATTGATAATTAAATGCACCCACCAGCTTCCTGCATGATTTCTGTGTGGACCATGATGTCTCACAGAAATTCCTGCTCTAGATAATAGGGAATCCCACAGAATGACTCTCCATTGTCCTGCACAATAAACGACAGCTTTTTCACTCAAGTGATGGAACCTTGGCAGGAGGCAAGCTTTCCCAAGGCTAAGAAAAAACAACAGTGCAGGAAGTGTCTCACCTCTGAGGCAAAAGTCAGGGATTTGGATAGAACTTATTTTTCTGGTTTCCTATGTCAACCTAGACAAGACACCATGTCTCTCAGGACCTTCCCAATGTGTTAGTGTGCTCTATGGAGCTCATCCTGGCATCTGCCACCTGGGAACATTATCAGTGGTGTGAGATGACATTTGTAAAATCTGTGGGGTGATGTCACATACACCTAGAGCACAGAATTAGAAGTGAAATCCAGGAAAGGGTAGGATGGAGGTGGAACACAGTGCACACAATGCTGGCTCATGCTGTGTGGTGGTAGAAATGAGACTCACCTCCTGGACATGCTTCCCTGGTGGCTTCATGAGGGTGTGGAAATGCATTGATTCATCCATCCCTATTTTCCCTAAGCATCTCAATTTCTTCTATATATTGGTGCTGTGGACTCAAATCAGGACCTCACACAGGCTGAGCAAGCACTATGGATGGAGCTACTTCCCCATATCTAAGTCCATAGTTCCTATATTCACACCTGTGTGAGCCACCAGGCCTATGGCCCGTGCTCCTACTCAGTAGCTGAAAGTTCATCTTGTGATGGCCATATCCTGAGTAGCCTGTTCCCTATATGATGGTCCTAATTTTGTGGCTTATTATTAATATTATTATTTTAATTTTGCATTAGCAGTGCTGAAATTGAGCACAGGGCCTCATTCATGGTAAGCAAGTATTGTATCATGAGCTCTCTCCAGTTCCTGACTCACTCTTAAATAACTGAATATGGCAGTGGTTATGTGATGGTACTACTAAGGTTCATACAAAATAACTGTGACCAATCTCCTGATCTTTTTCTTTGTTCTCCCCAGTATGGTGTTTTTTTGTTTTGTTTTGTTTTTGTTTTTGTTTTTGTTTTTTTGTTTTTTTTTTTTTTTGGTCCCTTTCTGCATCTCTGGCTCCAAAGAACTTGCTGCTATCTCTGCAGCTTTCCTGAGGAGAGGCTGATGAACCTTGAGTGACAAAAGGGAAACCAGACAGAGGAGACATTAGGCTTTTGTCCTGAGTCCTTCCTGTAGACAAAGGACAAAGCCTGAGAGCAAATTCTGCCCTAGAGGCATGTTCACTGAGTATGTAGCTCTGTGCACCAAACTACTATGGTAGCAGCCTCAGAAAAGCCTTCAGGATCCTGATCCACAGCAACTCTTATTAGAAAATAGGATTATCTCATGTATCAGATAGGCACAGACTGACCTGCCTTGTATTTTTTAATATTTTGCAAATGTATGTAATGACTGGACAAAATTTGTCCTCTCTGCCTTCTTTCACCAATCAATCATTCTGAGGTTACTGTACAGTGTTTTTATATTTTTAATTAGAATTTCAAGTCATGGCTTGCTGTAGTTTATTCATTTAGATGTTATTGAATATTCACATTGTAGTTTTCAGTTATTGAAAACAAACCTGATGTGAATATCTTGTGAAATTCTCTTCATGACATAGAGAGGACTGGATGCACAGAATGTTAAGGTAGTCAGATGTGTTACTCTTAAATTAACTACCAAAATGATTTCTGAAGTGAATATACCACTAACAATGCAAAAGGAGTCTCCTTCCTCACCAATAGCGGTGTACTTTGACCTAAAAAACAAAGTTGGCTCTTAGTGCTCTTGAATACATGAGCACGGTTTTTCCTTGTGAGATGAATATTCACTTACCTGATTACTGATAATGTTGAGACATGCACAGACTGGGAAGGGTCCATATGACTCCCAAGAGCATGTGGAAAGCCTTCAGAAGTGATAGACATGTGGATCCCACGGAGGCCTTCGAATCACTGCAGGCTCCTGCTGAAGTCACACTGCATGAACCAGGGAGCTCCGCCTCCTTCTGAGGTTAAGGCCCCATGACCAGGACAGTCTCTGTGAGTTCCCTCAGACCTGCTACTTGACAGAAGGAGGAGGTGGAGGAGCCCCTAGCCCAAGGAGGGGGATTTGAGGGACTGCTCCTCTCTACCCATGATATATGTATACAATCTGTATAGCCCTGGAATATGGGAGCTGGTGAAACATTTGAATTAAAATGTGAGTGAAACTGTCCCAACATGGGTGTTATAGCTATGGGAAAATGGGGCTGATAACACAAAGTTGAGCCCACAGAAGATGTGCCAAATTTATTCCAGCCAGCACTGCCTCTATGTGACAAGTTCTACAGAATGTGAAAAGGACAACCTGTGAGCAGATAAGTATACTTTGATTACTTGTTGACAGCAGCAGCTGGGATCAGAAATGCCAGACCGGCAAGGTGCTGATATGGAGAGCATGACCACACCACAGGGCCTGGGGTCTGTTATGTACAGTGTCTGGGGATGGATAACAGGGAACTAAGGAGCATAACTGGATGCAGCCCCACTTTTATTCAATAGGTAAATGCAGCGTTGAAGCACCCCATTGTCGTGTGGATATGACTTCACCTGTGTAACTGTGTATCACTGAAAAATGATGCAGACATTTGGGGTGGCAACAAGCTCATCAGGGTGAGGCCCACTGATTGGCTTACTGTGAAAGCCTCTTAAGTCTGTGTGAGCTAAGGCTGGCCATAACTATCCTACACTGACCAGGACACCACCTGGGTATTCACATATATCCACGACACCATCAAACCCATTATTATGGACACACTGCAATATTGTGAAACTGTTCTATGGGTGCCACCATATTGTACAGATGACCTAGTGGTTTTCTCTGGTGGCTGTGTTGCTACCAAGGACAAAAATCATGGACCTAAACCCTTGTTAATGCAGGGCCCATGCCATTAACTTTACTTGCTAGGCTTGGTGTTGCTCATGGATGAAACTTCTCAAATGTTAAAGGTGGTTTTGCAAAACCACATGAACCTTGATTTGGGAACCGCAACCCAACAAGGTATTTGTGCCATCTTTCAATAGAATAGGACATTTATATCTCTGACCAATAAAGATAGGAAAAAGAGGCCCTCCAATAAATGGATGTTCAGCTGAGACTCCCGGACTGCCACCACGGGTCTGCCCCACAACCCAGCAACCAAGGACGTGATGGACTGCCCCTCAGGCCCACCCAGTTGGAAACTCCCCCACATCCTGGACCTAGTATTGCAGTAGATCTTTGGCTCTGACCCTTTCTCTTAAAACCTTGGACTACAGTGGATTACCATGCTGGCTCAATGAGAGACTCAGGAACCCCTCATGCAAACAGAAGCTGTCAGGAGGCTCCACTCAGTGTGGTGAGTGTGCCCCTAAAATAGAGGTTTGCAGTGGGTAAATAGGAGCAGAAATGAAGCTCCCTCCAGCTACAAGCCCTTGGCAAACATGGCAAGAC